AAATTAGTTTTTACGTATATTAGCAGTTCAACCATATATATACAGGGCAGCGTTAATATTTTTAATTGTTTAAAAATATTTCTACAAGAACCATATCTAGAAATGCCAGCGATATTTCTGAGACACCGTTTTTGAAGTCTAAAAAGTCTAATAATTAAATGGGGCGATGATCCCCAAAATATAATACCGTATTTAATTCGGGAGTATACCAAACCATAATAGTAAGAAATTAAAATTTTTTCATTGCATAATTGTTTAAGACGTATCAATGCATAACAAGAGGAACACACTTTTTTACACGTTTCATCTATATGTTGCATCCATGTTAGCGAAGCGTCAATATGAATTCCCAAAAATTTTGTGTTCTGGCTCTGTTGTATGGATTTCCCATTTATTTTTAGTAAATGGCATTCATCAGTTATCGGTCGAGGTGTAAAATAAACAAATGTTGTTTTCTCCGTATTCATACATAACTTATTTGATGAAAACCATTTTTTAAATTTGTTAATCATATATTGTAGTTTAACTAGACAATTATCTAATGTATCGTCAGTGCATAGGTAATTATTATCATCCGCATATATTGTAAGATCATCGCCAAAGTTATGAATTTCCGGAAGATCGTTAACATATATTAGGAAAAGCAAAGGGCCCAAAATGGACCCTTGTGGAACCCCTATTGATGTGTCTAAAATGTCTGATAATATGCCATTAATATCAACAACTTGTCTTCTATTGTCCAGGTAAGACATCAACCAATCGCTTAATTTTCCACGCAGACCATAGTTGTATAATTTGTGTTCTAAGATTTTGTAGTTGACTAAATCGAAAGCTTTGCTTAAGTCCATGAACAGGCCTATGCACTTTTGTCCGTTATCTAACGCGTTATATCTATTTATAAATTGTACCAAAGCTGTTTGTGTACTTTTCGTTTTCCTGGGTATTTACAAGTGTTTTGTTAGAATCTAAATATTGCATAATTCTAGAATAAATAACTTTTTCTAATGCTTTTGAGATTGAACTAAGAATTGCAACTGGGCGATAGTTCTGGATATTAGTGTTTTCTCCCTTTTTAAATATCGGTACAATTCTTGCCGTCTTAAATACATCAGGGAATAATCCATTAACTAATGACAAATTAAATAAAAAATTAAGAGGATATACTAAATAGTTTACTGCCTAGATCAATATTTTACTACTAATATGATCCAAACCTAATGAACCAGACTTTTTGAGACTTAAAATAATATTAAACACTTCTGTGTTTGATACAGGATGAACGAATATAGTATCATAGATCTTTTTTTGTTTAAACTCATAGTCCTTTTGATCGACATTATTTTTAATCGTTAATTGATGTGTAATATTAACAAAAAAATCATTAAAAGTGTTCGCAATTATTTTTTGGTTTATCACTACTTCATTATCTACGACTACTGAATGTATAGAATTAGAGTTATTTGTCTTATTATTTGTGTTTTTATTTATTAGGTTCCATACGCACTTACTTTTATTAGCTGAATTATTATATATTCTATCATTTTGCATATTTTTCGCGGCTTTTACAACTTTTCTGTATATTTTTTTATAATTCCTATAGTAATGAACATGTGCTTCGTTATTTGTTAAACACATTAAATGGAAAAGTTCTTTCAACCTTTGAGAAGACCGCAATATGAATCTATGACAATTTACTAAATGAATATTGGAAATTTCGCTAATAACTTAAGTGAATATTCAAAATACAGGTACTGAAAAAGCGATACATGCGAAGAATAAAGAAGAAATTCATTATGCAAGGTATGATGTATATTTAACTACTAAACAAGTACTGAAACAGAGTGATTATTTCAATAATAGTAGCAAAACTGTCAAATTTTAGGGGCGATCAACTTAATGGACTAAAAGTGACACGAACTCACTGTTAGAGAACACAGGTATATAAAGAAACGAAGAATGTAGTAAATAAACACCCTTATTTAAATAAAAAGGTAAGCGTAGACTAAAATTACACATACAAGGGGCCATCAAAAAGTACTTGTCTTAAAATAAAAACTGGATCGTTACATACTTCCAAATAGCATAACATTAGATTTTTTAGGAATAATTATCAAACAGTGGTCGGTTGCATAATTTATGAAATTTTATAAATTGTTATTATTAGTTTGGCATACACTTTCTACTTTTTGAGGATAAAAACTGTAGTATAATAGTGTATATTTTCTGGATAAAGATGGAAATTACAAAAATGGATTCGTAAATAGATATGGGCCGAATATATACAGAATAATAGTACAAATTATTTATGCAAACTTCTTGTTGTCTAAATTTAAGATAATTTATTAGTGATTCAGCATTTTTCGAAAAGCCTATATACCGCAACATACATATTGGTAGATCATGACGAAGTAGTCTAAATAACAATGCTTTTTGGGACAAACAATTTTCTCAGCTTCCGAAAAATATGAATGAGATGTCATTCCATTCGTAATAGCGTGTAGATAATTTTTTAAAAATTCAAGAGCCGCTTTCAAAAAGTTATCCAGTATATGCCTGAATTTTTTCAATTCGTAATTTTCAACACTTGGGGAAAATTATAAATATCGGTCCTATAGTTCCGGGAGGTAGAACTTTTTGGTGGGAAATTTCCTCCTCTTTTTGAATCTTTTCTTAAATATGGAGAATGCCAAATAGTTGTTGGGAAATTTGCAAAAACCAAACCCTATTTTGTTTTTAATTGTATATAACTTTTGCAATTTTTACAAGCGGCTCTTGCATTTTTTTTTAAATCATCTACACGCTATTCCGAATCGAATGACGCCTTGTTAATATTTTTCGGAGGCGTAGAAAAACGTTGATCCAAAAAGCACTTGTTAACTAGACTAGAAGGGTATCAAATGCCCCACAAAAATCTAACATATTTTTCTTTGATCAGTGGCTTTAATGACATCATCAACAATGTGAAGCTAGATGCACCTTTACGGTCAGTACTAAATAAATAAGAATTTGTACGATTTTAAAAAGTAACAGCGATTTGTTTTTTGTTTTATTTATTTTGGAAAATTATTATATATCTACAAAACAGATGTTCATGCCCGCGTTGACATACGGTTTTTTATATTAAAGTTGTTTTTACTGTCAGTACAAATTTTGAACGCGTGCCATAATCTTGAAAAATGTAAGTAGGTGTATTTTGTTGGGACAGATCAAGAACAATACATTCTTTGTGATATTGGTTTTTTGAATTAGATTTTTAGATTTAAAATTTGAGATGGGTTGAGGCTATACCACCCCGGGCAAGAATGCCACAGCAGTCTTGAATCAACTAATATACATTAAAATATCATCATAGAGTTAGTATCTAAGGAATTAAAAAGTGTATTTCTTAAAGATTTAATGTGTACATGAATATTCCACCATATAAGCCAATCATTGTGTACATCCAATTATTTTACATTATTTGAACTTTTAATTAAAAATTCATCAATACTAGTATTTTATTGATAAACATTCAAGCGATAGTATATTTACGACACAGCAACTAGACGGTACATACCATGTATTTTTGAAGTTTATATTAAGCTTTTTTCATGAAAACGCTCTATTAATTGCAAAAGGTCGTCCTCAACTTTTCTTTTTAAGTGGCATCAGGCCTTTCCTGGTAGAATACAGTGTTTTTTTCCGCAAAACTGGTGATGTTGCCCCATAATCAACAAATACATTATCACTAAGTATTTTGTTAATTACGACATATTGTTTTCTATTGTTATGTACATATTTTAATTAGTCAATTATATCTTCATTTAAAACTGCTTTTTTCAAATGAGTTTACACTTTGTGAAATATTTATTACAAGTAAGTTCACTTAATATGTTGACGTCATCACAGCAGGGGCGTGCGGTCTATGGAAGCGGGGGAAGCACGGCTTCCCTACACTTTGAGATTTAAAAATAGATATTTTTTAGTTTACAATGCGTAGAAATTAATATTAAATTAGGTACTATATTTTCTCTGAAACATTACGTAAACTTCGTAAATGTATCAACAATTCATTGGTGTAATGTGTAAACGCACGCACACCCATGAGAAAATTAATTGTACTTCGAGTCCGTCGGCGGAAGCACGTCTTGAAAGAGCTAGTTAATCTTCCAAGAGGTTTTGCTTAATGTTATTGACCCCGATTTGCCGCAACAGTAGTCAGTCCGTCCGAAACGTAAAATACGGTCGAGAAGCAGCGATTTTTACATCGCCTTACGCATATTGTAATTCACACCGCAAATTGAGAATCGACGTGTGCGGAAATCACCAATTTCGGTTTGTTTTTCGTAATTGTTTTTCTTTTTGTAAAATGGAGGAACTATGCACTGTGCCTGTGAACAATAATAATGTTGTAAATTGTGTCTGTATTGTGTGCTCTTTGTTGAAAAAAGGATTTTTAAGTAAACATTTTGAAGAGGAAATGGACATTATTAATTCTAGTAGACTAATTTAGAGAGAGAGAGAGAGAGAGAGAGAAAACTTTGAAGAGTTTGTTTTGCTGGCCTTGCCTACTTTTTAATATAGCCGAAAAAACGCATTGGAACTCATTCGGAATTACAGACTTGAATAATTTTCACAAAAGTGTAAAATGACATGTAAATAGCAAATCTCATATAAGTGCTACAATTAAAGAAAAAACATTCGGGACCTATCGCGTTGAACATAGTTTGGTTAATCATTTAAAAATAAGCAACAAAATTCACAATGAAAAGGTAAAAAAAATAGGGACGTCTTACAACGATTAACAGATGTAACTTGTTTCCTGGGAGTGCATGAACTAAGTTTTAAGGGTCACAATGAAGCAAGTGGATCCGCCAATAGAGAAAATTAGATGGACCTTCTAAGTTTTTTTAGCAAAATACGATGATACCCTAAAAAATCATTTTGTTGATTCGACGACTTTCCGAGGTACCTCAAACAGAATCCAAAATGATTTAATTAAATGCACTTCCGACGTTGTGATGGATCACAATAAAAGTGAAATTAAAAAAGAACTTTTCGTATCAATTGCGCTTGATGAAACCACAGATGTAGCAAACTTAAGTCAATTATACATTGTTATGCGATATGTATTAAATGGCATTCCTCAAGAGCGATTCTTAGGATTTTTGGACGTCACTAGCGAACGAACTGCAGATGCGTTGTTTGAAATTGTTTGTTACATTATTTCAAGTTTAGAATGTGGTTCTAAGCTTGTTGTCCAGAGCTACGATGGTGCTGCTGTAATGGCTGGCCATTTAGGAGGCCTTCAAGCTAAAGTAAAAGAGAAGTTTAAACATGCAATTTTTTTGGTTTTATCGCGAAGTTTTCTTTTCGACGCTTAGGGGTTTGGCTTCCTTCTTTCCAAAGTCATCAAAAAGAACTCGCGCTTTGAACATTCACGTTCAAAAAAGGTTTTGAAAAGTTGCTCCGACGCGATGGAACTACAATGGACGTTTAGTGCAAACAGTGTTTTAATACCGTGATTCTTTGATACACTTTTTTCAAGACGTTTGGGATAATTAAGAAATATGGGATGCTAAAACTGTTACTCTCGCTAAAGGGTATTTGCATTGGCTTAAAAAAGCTTTAATTTCAATTTTTTGCGTAACATTTTTGCAGGGATTTTCCCTTCTACTGACAAATAATTCGACATTTTACAGACAAAGTCAAATGACATTGGCTTTTTCATTAAACAAATTGATGATTTTAAAGTCGCAGTTAAGTGTTGTTTATGAAACAACTTAAATAAGTAAAAAAACGCCCATCAATGTGTTAAATTTTCTTATAACAACTAACTTAAATAAGTCCCTTTGTGAAGTCGTCAAGTTGTGTGAATTAGTACTAACCATCCCAGCCACAAGTGCGTCAGTTGAGCGAAGTTTTTCAGCTTTAAAGCGCTTTAAAAGTTTTATACGAAATTCAACAAGTGAAGACGGACTCTCTAATTTTGCCCTAATATTCACTGAAAAACAGCTTGTTAAACAGTTATCAGAAAATCCAAAATTTTACCACGATGTTAAAGACAAATTTGCAATCATTGAGGATAGGCGAATAGATCTTAAGTATAAGTAATTGTCAACTGTTGTGTCAACTGTGCGAAAAATGATGGAAAAATAAAAAAAAACTTCAGTTTTTTTACGATTAAATAAACCAAGAAAGCTTTTCAATGGTAAGGTTCTTTTATAGCTTTTAGTACTTAACTAGATAAAAAAGTAATAGTAACACTTCAAAAATCTCAATCTCGAATATCTGTAGTACTGAGGAAAAAAAGCAAGATTTTGACAAAATGTTGAATGCGCCGCGAAAAATTTTCGCCTACGGCGCTGTGCTTACTGCCCTGCTGTATTTTTATACAATCGCTTCCCCTTCCAAAAATGTCACGGCACGCCACTGCATCACAGCAAATCCTAGAAAGAATAGTTTAAACTACTTGCTGCAGGTTCAGTTATGGTCTTCGTAAATATGATCATACTTCAGAGTTTATTAAACTGGAATGGTTAAATATAAATAATCTCTACATATAAGCATTATATACTTGCTTTTGTCCAAAGGCTAATAAATTCATCTGGTCCTGAATATCTTAACAATAAATTAATAATTTTTCAAACACAAATGACATTGCTTTGCATATACATACCAGTTCCTTTGTTTGAAGGAGCTTCATATACAATGCTGTTTGGCCCTTTAACTCACTGAGCGTTTATAAAAAGTTTTTGCTATGCTGAAGGTAAAAAATAAAAAGGCTACTAAAAAGTCTTGAGAATATTAAATCATTTTTATTATAATATTTTTGCAAATGTTATTATGTATTTTATTGTTTCATTACTAAACTTTTTAACTGATCTAAATAAAAAAATTAAAATTTCACTTAAAAATTTCCCTCGCTGTACTTTGAAAATAATAATAATATTCTAATCTAATAATTCGTTTTTGTTTTTTTCAGGTAAGTAAAATTTGGCAGTTTAACTTGGCGAGCAAGATGAAAATAGAGTAAGTTTTGATTTTTCTTTTCTACTCTTTATGTATGCCTTAAATATTTCTATGAAACTTTAAGCTCCGATAATAGTTTCTGGAGAGTGGGTTAAGAGCCAATAATCACGGCGCTTCCACCATAAATATTTAGATTATTGCCTGGATAACTTTAAAAGTAATATTATTTTAGGCTCAATTACTGTGATATTGCTTTGTTATTACAAAGACAATATAAAAGCATAATTATAGTAATCAAGATTATAATATTATTTTTAAATTTATTAAGTTAATTATCTAAATAGTATTTTGGTGGGCGTGCAATGGTTACACTGAGAGAAAAAAGTAGTTTATATTTAAAATATTGTAAGTTAGGAAGAAATTCTTTAAATATTAATTGAGGAAATTTATTAATATCATAATTTTAAAATTATTAATAAATATCTCACAAATACGTGTTTTTCTTTAACAAAACATTTGTTACAGTAGGGTATAGTAGATATTAACAAATATTTTACTCGGCAAAATACGTATATTTAAAAATAACTATTATATTTATCTAAAGATTACAAATTTCTTAATATTAAAATACAACACTTTAAATATAACAATTGTGCTTTCGCGCTCTACGAAATAAATAAATTTTAATATACAGCTATGATAAGTTAACTATTAGCGAATATATTTTTATTTATTTATTCTTTTCCGAAAGCTTATTGCTTTTATAAAATTTAAGTACCTACAATCCCTACATGTTTCGGAAAGACTGTTCCATCTTCTGGTGCCAGTCAATATTTAATAACTAGCACCAGAAGATGGAACAGTATTTCCGAAACATATGTAGTGCCCGTAGGTTCTTAAACTTTATAAAAACAATAAACACGACCAAATGAACTTTTTATTTATATAAAATTCTACTACGGTAAGAAAATTATCCTTAATCAAACAATAGAATAGTTATTTGTGTACCAAGGCCATAAAGTTGATATCTTCTGACCGAATCAGAAGTTTGCTGCCGAGACCATGCAACTTTTGGTTAGGTCAAAAAAGATTATACGGTCGAGGTGTACACAACATTTTCCATGCGACTCTCATCAAGTTGAGCCAATATTTTTTTCACATTCTTGTTTTTAAAAAGAGGCTTAAATGCAAGAATTGTTTTAAGTTTTTATTAATCGAATAAAATTCCATCGTCAACTAATTAAATTTGTATAACATTACTAACGATAAGTATAATAAACCTATGCTTATAAAAAGCTGCCGTAAAATTAATGCGGCCAAAAAAGTAACACTTTACAGATGTTATTTTTCATGACAGTCTCCTAAAAAGTTTTTTTTTTTAATTTTCATAGTTTGTCCAAGAAAAACCTGTATTGGGTTTGACCGAGATTCGATCGTGCGTCACGAAACACAAATTAGTTAATTTTGAGTTGTTTGACGTCCCGGTTGCAGGGGTTATAAATGAAATCCTTGTAGATAACACTTCCTGATGGACCTGCCACTCACCTTATAAAATTTCAGCCGAAGGTACCATTGTACCACCTATCGGCCGCTACATTTAATATTGGTTCATGTTTGTTGAAATTTATAAGCATGTATTGTTAAGTTTTCAATTTAATAAAATATATTTTCTGTATGTATACCTTTTATTTTATATCCCTAATATATTTAGGCTAAATACTAACAAATATAAATTACTAGATTAAAAATCATCAATTAACAGATAAAAACAAGTTTTAACATTTACAAATAATATGTTTAATAACATAAAACATTTGATAACTAAAATAAAAAGATGTCTTGGAAATTGAATAGTATTTTAAAAAACAATTAAAGTATATTAAACATACACAAGGTTTCTTAAACTATACTGTTCTTAACTGTTAACAAGCAAATTTTAACATTTATAATTAATATTTTTAATAATAAAATGTAAGATTTGATAACTAAGATACAAAGATGTCTTGGAAATATAGAATACTGCTTTATTAAGTAATGAAATATAATACAAAACATAGGTTTATTAACTGTTAACAATCACATTTTAACATTTACAAATAACGTTTAATAGTAAAAGTTCACATTTGATACAAATGTATTGAACAATTAAAATATAACGTTAAAACATATATTTGTTAACATTTTACATATTTGATTTATGTTAATAAATCTATTTTAATTTTAAACCAGTAAATAAGTATAATATTAATATATCGGTGTTTATTTTTAACTGATGAGCTTTTAACTTATGACGTGGTTATAGTGAACTTACTTAAGTTCGGCCATATCCAAACCTGCCATATGTTAAATATTAATAAGGTTTCTTAACATTAAACAAACCTTTCTCTCAGTGTATTAACTCCCACATTATCTATCTGACCTTGTATTGGAATATACAGTGTGTTAAAAAAAAGTGTCACAAAATGAAATGGTGAATAGTATGACCCAAAATAAGCAGAAAAGTCTTAATAAATATATGACCGCAAATTAACGGTTTCGGAGATACGGACCATTTTGTGTTTATAACAATCATTTTTTATTATAAAAAAACAATGATATTTATAAACAATCAATAACAACATAGAGTTAAATGAGATGTTCAAAGTGCCCTCCCTCCATTTCAATGCATTGCCATTTGCACGACCGTACATAAAATGCATGTCAGCTAATTCAATATTAGTGTAAACAGGCATAACGAAAATTTATAAAATTATTCACCCACAACAAAATAATAACTGCAAATAGTATCTATGAAAAAACATCGGTAGACTCCAATAAGAAAAGCAAGTTTTTGAGAATGAAAAAAGATAATCAAAAAATGATACAAAACACAAAACACTCCGTATCTCTGAAACCATTCATTTGCGGACATATGTTTATTAAGACTTTTCTGCATATTTTGGCCCATACTACCCCCCGTTTTATTTTGTGACACTTTTTTTTAACACCCTGTATACAAGAGCTAACTGAAAAACTACTTTTGCATATATGTATAAAAAATATGCCACTATTTCATACTTTATTATATAATCCATTTCTTTAAGGTTTTATTAGGTATTATTAACTTTAACTTTAATAACCATCGCAGTAAAATAGACCTGACAAATTTAACTAAAAGAAAATATTAAAACGGCAAAATAGAAAAAATGAAATAATGGATTTAAACAAGCAGTTACGTTACTGCAATCCATTTTCAAATGAACTGAAGATATTTTCAAAGCAACAATATACCGTGATTTGCGACTGAACATAAACATAATAGTTCATTAAATTTATGGGTCTTGAAATTTTATCAATAGTATAAAATTAGGTCAATTGTGTTTAAGAAATTATTAGATTTTGTTAAAATAAAACTTCGAAACTGTTCGAATCA